GCTGTGTTCATACAGCCCTGCACCTTGTTGTCTCACATTTCCAACCACATTTGGTCACCAATACAGATTTGGAGTGACTCACATATATCTCTAATGGTCAACTGTGGAAAATCCCCTTTTGTTTTAGCAAATTAGATTAATTTTTTCTTCATTAAAGCAAGCTAACATTTAAAAAGGACTCTATTATTCCAGCCCTCTATTGCTTCAGTATTAGAACCTGGAATTCATTCCTTAAACTTCGTCACACTTTATACCTTTAGGAGGCTCCATAAAAACTTCTCACCTGGTAATATCTGTGGTTTAATATCACATTTTATTTGATAGAGGTTCACGAAAAGTACCTTGGGGGTGATTTGCTACACTTGAAATGCTACATAAACTTGTCATTGCATCTGCCCAATGTATTCAGACCACATACTTTCTCCACAACAAAAGAGCATCAGGAGGGAAACATGCAGTTTGGACACAGCAATTTGGGACATTCTAGTGCAAATGTATATTTTATTATTAATCCATCTCATCATGAATATGGTTCACTTCAACAATATTTCTTATTTTAAAATGTGTTAATAGGCATGGCATGCTGAGTTAGACACCAAGCCCTATTTGCCCAAGTTATCTATTTATCAATAGTTACTTTCATGGTCCTCAACAATCGATGGCTAGGATTGTACATCAATCAAAAATTCTACCTCATATTCAGGTTTTATTCCTCTACGAACAAAGTCATACTAAAAGGAAACTTCACACTTGTGTTTCCGAAGACTATTCATAGAATTTCCATTCCCACCATCTAACCGGCTAGAAGTGACATTTTCCAACCTACATTCCCTACCCACAATTTCCTCCTTCCATCACATAGGATGAAACTCCATTATCCCACACAAGCTCCCCTCCCCAAACCTCTGCCAACAAAACCAACAATGGATTAGTTAATTTGCCCCATGTTCTTGTTGCTTGGATGATTGCATCTCTCACCCTCCAAACGTTATCACATCAAACTTGAATGCATTTATCATTTCTTCATCTTGTTTTTTATGATATCGCTGTATCTTCTCTGTAAAATTGTTAGTGTTCCTATTTTTTGTGATTCAACACCAAACAGCTAAAACCTGTTCTTGCATATGTCACAATGCTACGTTTGATAGCATCTAACCCAGCTTAAGATCTGTTTTTCACTTTCATCCGAGTTGTTAAACATAGGTAAGATTCCGTCATACCACTGTCTATTTTCATCAAGGTTTCAACTCCTGTGCTTACGCAGTCAGTGATATTTCCAAGTGGAATATTTTTGTACTGAACATTTCATACATTTCAACATTCAATCATCATCAATATGTTTGCACTTCACACTTTTGCTGCATAAATGTTACAAAAATTAGAGTTTGCCAACTGTCAAAAATAAAAGTGAACTGTTCCAGATCTAAGCTGGAAAGCACTATTTGCAGAGATCTCAGAGCATGTAGTCTGCAAGTAGTGCAGGATAAGTAGCATGGACTGGGAGAAACTATATAAATTTTAGCATCCAATTCCAGCTATCATGCAAACCAGCTCAATGCAACCAGATCATTTCCTGGTCAAACAACAATACCAACAACAAATGGATGAGGCTATAGTTTGGGTAACTTCACTGTAAAACTGAAATTGATTGACGAATATTTTATTTCAATACTTACCAAGTCATCTTCTCGGTAGTGCATTTTTGAGGTATGTCGCCTCATACTATAGACCGTGAGAAGCAGATAAAGGAAAGAGAAAGCTGTATGGAGCCATAGCAGGTCATTCCTGTTTTAAAATGAAGAGGGTTAGTGGGCTGACTCAAACAAACATTCTTGCATAAAAGTAGTGCCACGTAGACAATGTCCTAAAACTACATTCGTGATTTCCTATATGAGGGTCAACACCACAAACTTCTTCATCCAAATTCTCACCTCCACATAAGAGGCACTCACTAATATTTCATATAAAAAGGAAAGATGTTGGTGATCTGAAATAAAAACAGAGTGCTGGGGGTACTCAGCAGGTCTGGAAATATCTGTGGATGGGGAAATATATTGGGTTCTATCAGTTGTCTTTGAAAGTGAAGTGGAATGCAATATGATGGTTTTTATGCTGTCAAAGTGGAAGATAGATCGAATGGAACAGATAAGGGTGCCCAGGGAAAAAGACAGAAGAAATGTAAATGGTTGTCAGAAGAGACGTGGATATACATGTAAAGCAAGTGTTAACGACAGGTGTGAATAATAGCAAACAGGGCTACTCTGCTGAGTGCAAACCAATGTCATCAAGACATGGCAGTGGGGGTGGGGAAGGGGTGCGTTTGTGTGCGTGCGTGTGCAGTGGAGGGACAGGGTGCAAGCAAAATGGATGATTATATTCAATTTCTGAAGTTACTGAATTCAATGTTTAGCCCTGAAAGCTGTAAAAATGAGGTGCTATTCCTCCAGCTTGCTTTGGGCCACGTTGGAATATTGCAGCAGGCCTTGGATGGAAATGTTAGCAAGCAAGCAAGCTCTCATACCAACATTTCTCTACTACCATTAGCATTCCCTTTGGGCACTCTTACCATCTTTTCCACCCATTCGTCAACATAAAATCCATCATATTCCAGCCTCCTTTAATACCAACTGAGTTTTGAAAGAGGAGGGATATCTAACAAACATATACAATACAAAGGGGCCTGGATAGAGTGGACCTGGAGATGATGATTCCACTTGGAGAGGCTAGGACCCAAGGACAACCCTTTACACCAAGGATGAGAAGGAATTTCTTCAGCCAGAGGGTGGTTAATCCATGGAACACATTGCTGCATAAGGTTGTGGAGTCCAAGTCATTGATTGTATTTAAGGCCAGAGACAGATAGGTTCTTGATGGGTGAGGGTATAAAGAGTTACAGGGAGAAGACAAGTTTCTCAACTCCATTCTCCTATCAGCTAAGATTGAAAGGCAGAGCAAACTTGATGGGACAAATGGTCTAATTCTACCGGTGTCTTATGGTCAAAGGGGAGTCATTAGATTCAGTTTCTCAATCCATGCATGATCAGGCCTGTTGTGCATCCGCATTCACATATCTTTTATTTCAAATTGCACACCTGTACCCATAATTGCCATGCTCTTCCTGCTCTAATATTTAAGTGGCTACATTACCCTTCCAGAATAAGCCTCAACTCCAGCTACTATTTTAGATCGTTCTGTTCCAACCCTAATGAGGCTTTATGGTTTTAAATAAGCAGTGAATATTTGGACTAAAATAGGTAGCTGGGAGCAAGAGTAGCCATTTTATTGTTCAGAGTGCTGGAATGGAGCACCAGCAATAGCTGGGAACAGTTCACTGGTATTGTTCTGCAATTGGGTCCACCAACTTTCTTGGATCATGTTATTAGGAGACAAGGCTAAAATAGCTATGCAAAGTGCAAAGATGCCCTTCCTAAAAAGAGAAAATTTCTGGCCCTTTTTCTCATACATAATGATTTCCAGATAAAACCGGCCAAATTCAATTATGTCTTTAAGAGACATCAACACTATGGAGGGTTTGTCCTTCCTTTGCATCAATATGTCTCAGTTTAAGGAGCACAAAGATTCAAAGGAAGAAAAACAACCTGACCACTTCTCAACAAAATGCTGGAAATAAACACATTCGTTGATCCCAGGCACAAGAGTGCTGGGACATTACAGACACCTCAACATCCTTAAGTATTAAGAGGAGGGTGGTAAAGAAGGACTGATGGAGAAAAGTTACAAGTCAAGGCATCTGCTGCCAATCACTATTTCTCAGCCACTGTTGGAAAACGTATTTAGTTCCAAAGCCCCTGGGCAAAAACGTCAGATTCAATTGAAGCTTTTACATAATTAATCAGCCCAGCAAGAACTCTCATGTTTGAATAGTTCTTGGTACCAGACACTTCAGGGCATCCATGCAACCGAACCCCAGTACTAATTACTTTGAGAAGAGGGGGATGGGCGGAGGGCAGATTGAAGCAGAAGAAAAAACATTTTAAAAAGTATATATTGGAGACAGGGCTTTACTCTAAGCACTGGCATCTCACTGTCACTCTTCGAACGACACCACATTCTTGGTTCTATTATTTAAGTTTAAATTGCATACCCAGAATTCAGGTTTGCTATAGTTGTCCGGCCAAAGCTATATGCATTATTTTCTGAAAAAAGAGAGAAAGAGAATGTTAATTTCCTATTGCAAATCAAAAACTGTATTCAGGCATGCAAACCCCCTGCACATACCCAGAAGGGATGAAATATTAATTAGATCTAGCAGAATCGAAGATGCTGAAAAATGTGCAGGCCTGGCATCATCTGAAATAAAAGTTAATAGTTAGCATCTGTCCTTGATCACAAAGTAACATCCTGACATAGACCATTCATCAATTCTGACAAAGTTTACACCCAAAAGGTAAATGTTCTTCCCTATGTCCGCACAAATGATACTGACTAGCCTCCTGGACATTTGTAGTATTTTATTCAATATTTTCTTTCAGACTTTGTACTTGTGTTTGGAACTTAGTCCAATCTAAACATGATCCATACCTCTCTGGTAGCTTGGCAGACTACAGCTCAAACCATACCCCTATCTCCACAATGGGCAGCAGAGAGCTGCCCTGGGAAAAAAAAAATGGCAGGACCAGGTTCAATAAACTGAATTATGAACCTCTGTTCTTAATTCCTTGCTTTCAAAAAAGTGTCAGTGCTAGTCGACGAGTCTCAGACCCTGGTATGAAATTCAATTTTACAGCTAAGTCTCGATCTGGAATAAACCGCACCCTTCAAAACCAAGTCCACCTTCTCAATCTGGATCAGGTCCATTCTAGATCTGGTTTATCTAGATAAAGACCAAAGGAAGAATTCAGTCTCAATCCCTCATCTCAATTCAGTCCAGCCGAAGAAATAGAAAAATGTTAAAACCATGTCTGCTTTCATTTGCCTTTCAGTTTAAAAGGTGAGAGGCATTTGAGAGATGGAAAAAAAGGCAGAAAATATGGTTGGTTATAATGACAAGACCAACAGATTTCCTGGTTTAAGCTATCATACCACAGGATAAACAGTCCATCCTTTACTTAAAAATACTCCTTGAAGAAAAGGTATTTGAAAGTGGACACACACACACAGTCCAAAATCAATAAGTTTTTGCTTCTTTCCCCATGCTGGGCTGGGTCCCCTTTACTTTGTTTGAAGGGAACATGGAGAATCATAGGACATGATAGCTTTGACTCATCTGCAATTAAATGCAACAGGCTGATGCCTGTGAGCATCTGTCAGATAACACCATTATTTAAATCTGTAAGCTTACAACCTAGCGACCTTGTATAACTGGTTTTATTAACCCGCTGCCTATTTGATTTATGGTGCCATGCTCAAGACCTTACTTCAAATTTTCCCAGATGAGAAGTGTAATCATTTGCTGGAGAAAATTTCCTTTTTTTGATGATACTCTGTGCATCATTGTTGCATCAACATCATTTCCCTTTCCTCGCCGTCATTTAGGGTTGGCATAAAAGGTGGAGGCCTTGTAAACGGTTTTCATGGTTACCTTTAGTCAGAAACGTACATGAGCTGCTTAGCAGTGAGTTACCGAAATATTTACCGCCAAGCAGTTAAGGAATTCCACTAGCTGCTCTGGTGGGATCTGAATCACTGCCTTCAGAACATAGGATTACTAGTCCAGTGACTATCATCTCCAAAGGTTGAAGATCAGGTCTTGACAGCAAATTACTGACTTGGTTAGTCATTCGGTTTGGTGGTTGAAGACACAATAAGGATAGCAAGAATGTACTCAAACTGTAACCAATTATGCACCAGTTCATACTCACAAACAGACTTCATTCTTAGTAAGTAGAAAGAAGTGTAACAAGACATACACATCCTCAAGAGATTAATGTATAAACAATGCTTATGTTTTACACCATACTAAACAGACCAAGCAGTAGTAAACATAAGCATCAGCCTGTTATACTGAATAGTAGACCACAGACACAGCTGCTGTATCCTCTGGTTGCACCAGGGCTTTTAAAACCAGATAATGGGGAACCAATCTGAACAGGAAAGGATCCAAATATTTGTTGGTCTTGGACAGAGGACTGTCCGTGTACATCTGTTCAGCGCTTTTTTATTCAACTATAATAGGACTGAATTTGGTTGTTATTATGTTAAAGAGTCCAAGAATATTAGGTATTCAGAGCACGCGCGCGCGCGAGAGAGAAGGCTTGTGCTGATCATCTGATGCTGAGCCATACTTGTGCAATGTACTCACGTTATGCACACATCAAACATTAGCTCAATTGAGATAACAAGCAGGCCACTGCTCCAAAGTAACAGACAAACAAGATCCAGGGAGAAAATACACAAATTACACTGACAGGTGGCGTCAGCCAGACTAGATGCACACCTCAAATCATCCCCTCACCTGACCTGTTGGAAATGTTATGAAATACTTGTAAGGAGTGTGCTTAGTCTCCAACTGGCACCTCACCCACAGTTCGATTTTTTTCTTCTGATAATACAAGGGACAAATGTTGCTTACATAGTTTTGGATACAATTTTTCCACTATTGTTACATCTCACTTTTTATGTCTGCTCCAGAAACTATTAAGTTAAAAAGCAACATTGAGAAGATATTACTGAGCATTTTATTTAATTTTTGTTAATGAGATAATATTCCACAAGTTTCAATCTCTAAGGTGCAAAGCTCACCAAGCAGATCTCCTGAGAAGTTTACGGGTAATACTATACCCACAGACAGAACGCCAATGACAACGAGGAGTCCGATGATATGACGCTGGAAGGACAAGTAATGGACGGCATCCTCACCACATTTCTCTCTGATCTCTTCATCCCTGAAGAAGTAGAAAGGCACATAGGTGATGGGTTGTCCCCAAGCTGAAATCAATATACTTTCACTGTCTGGAATGGGATCACTGGATGACAGTGAGTGGCATGGTTCCGAGTATTTCGGGAGAGAACACCAGGGAAGTTGGAAGGTTATCCCACACTTTTCAGCCCTCTCAGGAAGTGGCTTCAGACAAACACTCAGCATATCAGCAGTTTGCTTGGAGCTATGGTACAGATGGACCAGAGTGGCTATGGAGCACAAATAAACTATTGTTTGATAAGTGGAAGGTGAATGCCAGGTATACTGAGATAACAGTGGTGGGGTAAAAAGCCAACACATTAAGCTACATTTAAAAAACAAAGCTTTACACTTGATTTGTGACTTTGCCAGTTAAACAATCTTCAACTGTAAATCAAACATTTAATTCAATAGCTTTAACTCTATTATTGTCCATATACATCATCTTTGTTATGTAGCTACTCTGATGAATTGCAATTTAAGAAACCTTCAGTGGTAACAATCTATTTTGATTTATAGCAAGCTGTCTAATGAGGTTGGCAGGAATTGATTTGATACTGTAAGATGCAATTATTTAACTCCAGAGATTTTAAAATAAAAAAAAGGATTTGATGCAGTGAAGCAACTACATTGTCTGAGAATTCTAGGACAGGTTTTCAATATTAGTGTTAGGCTGTTAAAAATCAGGATGTACTTTTTCACACTATGAATTGTGGAAATCTGAAACTCTTCCCGTTGTCTGCGGACACTGGCAGAAAGTTGGAGCTTTTGACACCAAGAATGTCATTTTTTAAAAATGGGAAGTGCCTTAAGAGACATTATGGTAAAGAAACCCATGGTATAGAACAACTAAGATTTAATAGAAGTAAGCTTGAGGAATATAATGGCTAGCTGATGTTTCTTTGTAATATATTCAAATAACTGTGGGGCATAACTAGAGAGGGGCGCAGATCTCATGCTTGCTGAAAGTTGATTCTGTATAACTGATTGGGGTGGAGGTGGTGGTGGGGACGGTGTGGGTAAACAGAGATGACAACCAAATTTATTTGCAAATTAAGTATTGTGCCTATGCACGTTTAGGGACTGGGGTTCAGGACTATTGGTTCTCTACATGCAAAGCTTGCAGTTATCAATTCCCACACTTACACTTACAAAACCTCTTCATTATCTGCTTTGCATCCTATTAAGATGCACTGTACAAGCTCAAACTTCCTAAACAGGAACAGAAAATTGCTGGAGAAACCCAGGTCTGGCAGCATGTGAAGAGAAAGCAGAGTTAACATTTCAAGTTTAGTGACTCATCAGAACATGAGGGTCTATCTCCTTCCCAAAATCCACAAACCTGAATGCCCTGGTCGACCCATAGTCTCCGCCTGCTCCTGCCCCACTGAAATTATCTCCAACTATCTGGACTCCATTTTCTCCCCCTTGGTCCAGGAACTCCCTACCTACGTCCGTGACACCACCCATGCCCTCCACCTCCTCCAGAACTTCCAATTCCCCAGTCCCCAACACCTCATCTTTACCACGGATGTCCAGTCCCTCTACACCTGCATTCCCCATACAGATGGCCTAAAGGCCCTCCGCTTCTTCCTGTCCCGCAGGCCCGACCAGTCCCCCTCCACTGACACCCTCATCTGCTTAGCCGAACTCGTCCTCACCCTCAACAACTTCTCTTTCAATTCCTCCCACTTCCTACAGACAAAGGGGGTGGCCATGGGTACCCGTATAGGCCCAAGCTATGCCTGTCTCTTTGTAGGTTACGTGGAACAATCCCTCTTCCGTACCCACACTGGCCCTAAACCCCACCTCTTCCTCTGTTACATTGATGACTGTATCGGCACCGCCTCATGCTCCCACAAGGAGCTCGAACTGTTCATCCACTTTACCAACACCTTCCACCCCAACCTTAAGTTCACCTGGACCATCTCTAATACCTCTCTCACCTTCCTGGACCTCTGTCTCCATCTTGGGCAACCACCTAGAAACCGATATCCATTTCAAGCCCACTGACTCCCACAGCTACCTAGAATACACCTCCTCCCACCCACCTTCCTGCAAAAATGCCATCCCCTATTCCCAACTCCTTCGCCTCCGCCACATCTGCCCCCAGGATGAAGCATTCCACTCCCGTACATCTCAGATGTCCTCGTTTTTCAAGGACCGCAACTTCCCCCCCTCAGTGGTCGAGAATGCCCTCCACCGTGTCTCCCGCATTTCCCGCAACTCATCCCTCACACCCCGTCCTGGCAATAACAACCAAAAAAAGAATCCCCCTCGTCCTCACGTACCACCCCACCAACCTCCGGATCCAACGCATCATCCGCCGACACTTCTGCCATCGGCAATCCGACCCCACCACCAAAGACATTTTTCCCTTCCCTCCCCACCCTTATCTGCTTTCCGGAGGGACCACTCTCTCCGTGACTCCCTTTTCTGCTCCACACTCCCCTCCAGCCCCACCACACCCAGCAATTTTCCCTGCAACCGCAGGAAGTGCTACACCTGCCCCTACACCTCCTCCCTCACCCCCATCCCAGGCCCCAAGAAGACTTTCCACATCAAGCAGATGTTCACCTGCACATCTGCTAATATGGTATACTGCATCCGCTGTTCCCGTTGTGGCCCCCTCTACATCGGGGAAACCAAGCAGAGGTTTGGGGACCGCTTTGCAGAACACCTACGCTCGGTTCGCAATTAACAACTGCACCTCCCAGTCACGAACCATTTCAACCCCCCCTCCCATTCCTCAGACGACATGTCCATCCTGGGCCTCCTGCAGTGCCACAACGATACCACCTGAAGGTTGCAGGAACAGCAACTCATATTCCACTTGGGAACCCTGCGGCCTCATGGTATCAATGTGGATTTCACAAGCTTCAAAATCTCCCCTCCCCCTACTGCATCCCAAAACCAGCCCAGCTCATCCCCACCTCCCTAACCTGTCTTCCTCCCACCCATCCCCGCCTCCCACCTCAAACCGCACCCCCATCTCCCATCACCTCATCCCGCCCCCTTGACCGACCTATCTCCTCCCTACCTCCTCACCTACATTCACCTTTACTGGCTTCATCCCCGCCTCTTTGACCTGTCTGTTTCCTCTCCACCTATCTCCTCCTCTATCCATCTTCTGTCCGCCTCCCCCTCTCTCCCTATTTATTTCAGAACCCCCTTCCCCTCCCCCATTTCTGATGAAGGGTCTAGGCCCGAAATGTCAGCCTCTCTGCTCCTATGATGCTGCTTGGCCTGCTGGGTTCATCCAGCTCTGCACCTTGTTGTCTCAGATTCTCCAGAATCTGCAGTTCCTACTATCTCAGAACATGAAGGTCACTGGATTGGGAGTGTTAACTCTGCTTTCTCTCCACAGATGTTGCCAGACCCACTGAGTTTCTCCTGCGGTTACTGTTTGTGTTTTGGATTTCCAGCATCTAGTGTTGGATTTTTTTGACTTACTTCATGTTCATCTTCCATTAGTTTTGATGTAAAGAAGTTTGAAAAGGTGCTAAATAAAGGTACTGGAGAAGTCACAGGTGCTCTTTCAATTTTGCATTACTTGTCCTATACAAACCTCATCTCGAAGTGCTGACTATTCTCAACAGATTTGGATCCTGCTCTCTGCCCTCAAAAGAAAAGTACAGTCATTACTTTAAGTTCTATATGATTGAAAAGCAGCAAGACAAATGGACTATAAACCTAATTATAACTCATTTTGTACTACTTTTCTTTGGACAATGCTGGCAATGATAGATAAAAATGTATTGGAGCGTTTCAAGGTATGACTAAAAGAACAGTTAAACTAACACAATGACAAAACAGACTAATGCGAGTGCAATAATGCCTCAAATGAACCACACCTCAGTGTGTAGACCCTCAAAATGAAAACAGTCAACAGTCAGCAGATTTCTGACAAGATGACAGAGTTTCGCTTTGTACTTATTGATACTGGTACTTTATTGTTGTAAACCATTTAAAAGGCTTAACATAATTGTATAGTTTTCCTTTAGGCACAATGTAGGAATCTAGAAGTGTGTTGATATCTGCAGAGTTTTCTGCAAGGGTCAGAGCTTGTCAATATTTGCACAGGCGCTCAGGAGTGTTGGATGGTGTTAACAGTAACAGGGGCCACTTGGAACTATGCAGCAATTTGAATACAATCTCAGTGTTCAGAATTTGAAAACTAATTAGTATATATGATAGGTGGAGGGATGATAGCACAGTGTAAACCTAAAGAGCGATAGCTCCTCTGATTTTATTGATTGTTACCCCAATATGACTGCAATTAAATCTCCTACAGTACATGTTAGCACAGGAGGGCTCTTGTAGCACAGTGGTAGTGTCCTTCCATCTGAACCAGGAAGCCCTGGTTCAAGTCCCACCTACTCCAGGGTGTCTAATATCTCTGAACATGTTGATTCGAAAATATCTATCTTTACAAGCTATCTTGTGGGGAAGTGGTAGTGTCCCTATTTGCAAGCCAGGTCACCTTGCTCCACAGGGGCATCATAACATCCCTGCACAGGTTGATTAAAAATATGTGTTGTTGCATTAGCAGCACATGATTTAGCACGAAAAGAAGAGTTTATAGAAATACAAACATGGGACATGCACATATGAAAAAAAGACCCAACTCATGTCAAAAAGTGATGATTACCTGATGAAGAATCACTTGTCCAAGGTTAACAATGAGACAAAATTTGACTTATTTTCAAAGTTAGTCATCTCGATTGTGACCTCTGGAGGCTGATTATTTGGAGGGACAATGGAAGAAGTGAGCAGCAATAAAAAGCTTAGATGACTGAGGAGAATCCAGAGAACAAGAGAGACTAGCAAATTGTGCTCCTGGTCAGCTCAATCTTCCTCTGCAGCAAGCACAGCAGAAACGTTCATGCCAGGGTGAGCCTCTGAGGCCACACCAGATGATGCTTAGCACACAGTTCAATACCAGATTGCAAACATTGCCTCGAGACAATGAGGCGTCTGGGTCATGGGATATTTCCCATAACTTCTGAATTTTCACAAATTGGATACTTCAAAAAGAATCATGCAGCATAAGTTATATACTTATAATTTATTCATGGGATATGGGAATTTCTGGTAAGGTCAGCATTTACTACCCATCCCTAATGGCTCATTGGACAGTTAAGAGTCAATACCATTGCTGTTGGTCTGGAGTCACATATGGGCCAGACCAGGTAAGGACAGCAGATTTCCTTTTCTGAAGGACATTATGGAAAGAAATCTGCTGTACATACCTGGTGTGGCCGACATGACTGCAGACCCATAGCAACGTAGAACAGAACAGAACAGAATATAACAGAAAAGCAATTTATTGTCAAGTATTTTTACAAACAAAAAGTGAAGTGAAAAGTTTTATAATTTGGAATACATGGCCCCTAAATTAATGACAGAAGTCATAAATAAGAAAAAAAGTTGATCACAGTTCAATTAACAGCTCCTAGGACTAGGGTATGCTGGAAAACTGGGCCAAGTCATGACTGCTATGTCAGGCCAAGACTGCCCTGCCAAGGCGAGACCTCCACGCTAGGACTAGACCTCAATGCTAGGCCTTTGGAAGACTGAAGATGCCTCCAAAGCAAGGATTAGACCTCCATGCCAGGATTAGATCACGATGCCAGGCTGTTGGAATGTCTGGAAGCCGCTGAAAACAACCCCCATGCTGGTGGGAGACAACTCTCCTGGTGCAAGGCCTATACTGTCTTTCCGGAACATTGGAAGCCACCTCGTCGCTAGGCCTGGGCCAGGAAGAGACAACTTCTGAAGTTGTTAAAAGTAGGTAAGGTACCATAATAAATAGAAACATTTTAAAACAAAAAAAAAGTAAAGCAATTCAGAATAGGCAAGTTTCAGGCTCCTAGGCTGAGAAGCCTGCATGTTGCGCTTCTACTCCACTGCCATCTTGAAATGGTGCCTGCTGGATAATGTTGTTGACTCTTAACTGCCCTTGGGGCAGTTAGGGATGGGCAAGAAATGCTGACTTTGCCATGAATGCCCGTATCCCAGAAGAATTTGGTAATTTAAAAAATTTGATGGAAACACTTACTTTATTCGAAAGATAGCTGTCAGCCATGAACAAAAGCCCTAGAGAGGAAAAAAAAGAAATGTTAGAAGTGCACAACTCAGTAAATTTTCTCTGGTGCTACCCATAGCCAATTTGATTATAATAGTTCTTCACATACAAGATAGTGAAATGGAGGTGAATTCAGAAATGCACTCCAAAGAATCACCTGGCAACTCAGAACATGCAACTGGATCGTTTCAACTGACAGCAAAACAGAGTGGTTGGTTCATGACATGGAGTGACGTCAGCAGTGTGGGTTCAATTCTGGCACCGGCTAAGGTCCTGCCTTCTCAACCTTACACCATGCCTGAGGAGTGGTAACCCTCAGGCTAAGCTCACCATGGGTCGTCTCTAATCACACAGCAACCCTAGGGTCTTCTGGGACTGTGGAAACTTTATCACAAGTTGAGAGAGTTCTGAGTTGTGAAGTAAACTGAATGAATACAAAACAATTATGTTACAGGAAGATTCAGACCTAATCTCATACAAACCTGTCTTTAAATGGGACAAGAATGAAAATAATACAGGAATTAAAATATATTTAGCTGGAATAGAAAACCTATGACTTGGCAACAATATGCACTGCACAAAGGAGGCTGTACACAAGCAAATTGTACAGGAGTCAAAGAATTGATGATTAAAAGGTCATTTTATTTTTATATGGGTGGGGCATACTAAACAGCTCTGAAATGAGGGAAAGAAACAAGAGGAAATCTGCAAATTAAAGGAATGTAAAGTACAAAATTATTGGTCTGGATGATTTTAATTATATACACATAGATTGTGATAGAGAGGGAGAAAAATAAATGAAATTTCTAGCTGTACACATGACTCCTGCCTCATGAAGTTTTATCACTAAATGTACAAAGATGAAACTGTTGCTAGATCTAGTTACAGGACTTGAAATTGATCAGGTAAACATGCGAAATGTGGATGTGAATTTTTAAGAGTAATGACCATAACAAATTAAGTTAAAAAATTGGAAAAAAGTGATCACAAAAATGGAACTTGATTTATAGTAGATTTTAAATATGGTGAGGACTGAGTTAGAGTGGGGGGGGGGGGGTGGAAGGAAAATACTCCATAAACATTGGATCATTAAGGTATACAGTAATACATTACTAAGAAGGAAATGGTTAATATTTTAAGGATGCCCTGGATGAATTACAAAGAGGTTAGAAAACAACTAAAATTGAAGAGTGTCTAGAACAGGAGAAAATAAAGTGGTTGAGAACCTAAATTTCCTGAGACAGTTTCAAAAAAAAAAAAAAAAAATAAAACCAAGAAAAAGGAACAGTATTTTACTGATGTCAGTAAAGTGTGTGTTGGCAAAAGTAAGGTGCTTTTTCAATCTGCAGCCAATGTATCTGTAGAATCCTGGGGGAATTGAGGAAAGAAGGTGAATGTTTTAAAAACTGTATTTCAAAACAGTAGGGCAGTGTGCCAGTGGACTGGTGAGATACATATGATATCAGTACGATAAAGACAATTTACTATTTGTGCAGTGGAATGGTTTGAAGTCTTCTACTTAGACTAAAATACTGTACATTTATTTAAAGAGAAACTAGTAAGGAGATAGCACAGATTTTAAATGGGATGATTCTGCTCAACAAGGCTCATTATGAAGGGTAAACATTGTTGTGGTGATGATGGTCTTTTGGCATTATTTCTGGACTATTGATCCAGAGACCTAGGTAATGTTCTGGGGCCTCGGGCCTGAATCCTGCCATGGCGGATAGTGGAATCTGAATTTAATAAGGATCTAAAAAAATAACAAAACCATTGTTGATTAACGAAAAATCCATCCAATTCACTAATGTCCTTCAGGGAAGGAAACTACTACCCATCTTGGCCTGGTTTACACGTGACTCCAGGCCCACAGCAACGTCATCAACACTTAACTACCCTCCGGACAATTAAGATGGGCAATAAATGCTGGCCTAGCCAGTGATACCCACAAACTGACCTAATGTTTCAAAAAAAAAAAAAAAGGGTGAAATGCAGTGGATGCTAGGTAGTGAACACAAGGGAATTTTTTTTAAGACATTCTTTGGATAACTGGAAAACAAGTGGATTAAAAATATAGCTGGAAGGGCATTTTTTTCAATGAGTAGTGATTCCACAGAATTCAATTCTGGGATCATTTCTGAAAATTTGTACATCAACTTAGAGAATGAAGTATTACAATTAACAGATGATGCCAAAATATGGTATTGTAGTTCATTTATCCCCCAAGAACAATCTAACTTGGTAAAGGACATTTTAAAAAGGGATACTGGTTAAATAATTACAATGGAATTCGATATCAGTTACTGAAAGGTGATATATTAAAAACCACTGCAATAATGATACTCTATATGTACTTGGTGTTCTGAACAAACAGATATTCAAAGTAAAGGGAAAGTATTAAATTCAAAAATCTTGGGATGACAATTCTATAAAACTAATGGAATTCTAGCTTATAACCAGAAATAGAATATTTAAAAGCCAGAGGTATAAATGAACCTATATAAAACTAAGGGCAACCAGAGGAAACCATGTTCAATACTAGGCTGCACACTACAGGCAAAATAGACTTTCCAGTGGGTGCAACATCGATCCATTGGGGTGCTACATAGGGAGATACAAATAAAGTCTTGAAAAGTTGGGACATTCTTCCACTTAAAATAGAAATGCTTAAAATTACAAATGAATTGTGCAGATTGGATAAAAATTAGCTGCTTCAGGCACACAGCTTTAAAACAGGGAGTGAACAGTGAATTGACTTTCGCTTATTTGGAGAAGAGTGGCTGAGGTAGAAACAAGGTTAATATTTAAGATTAGTTAGATAGATGCACGAAGGAAAAGGAATTAAGATATGGAGAGAACAGAATGGGTAAAGATTAGGAAAATTAACTCAGAGGGTAAACAACGAAATGGGTTGAGTAAAATGACACGTTCCCATATTATATCTTCTGAAGTTTCACGATTTTGTTAAAATTAAACATGGGAACGTAATCTGCCGTAACCATTTTTTTAAACCTTGCAATAGTTTTTGTCTAGGAGGATGAGTTTTAATAAATTAAGTTACTGTCTGAATTGTCTCAAGTTCCTGCACCCTTTTGTCACTGTTGAATGCTCCCAGGCCCAACATACCACCTTTGGGAAAAATTTAAACTTTTAAGGCTGCTGCACCCTCCCACCTGCAATCTTTCTGGCACATTGCTCATGGAACCACAGTAAGATCAAGAAGCCAGTTAATTGTTATGGTCACCACTTACTTCCAAAAGTAACCGCAGAGAAGTGAATAGTCTTGACTATCTCCTCATTCACTGACAGAACTTTCCAGTTATTCATGTCCCTAAGCATGGTGTTCACTAGCATTCTCAGTCGTATGGAGGATTCTCATCCTTCCACCCTGCTACCAACTCCCTAGAATACTTTTTGATATTGTACAATAGCATTTATCTTTCTCACTCCACCTGTTCATTAAAAGGTGCTTCTATCTACTGAATATCTTTGTTGCTGTTGCAGGAAGCAGTCACAGCTGACCACCACTCTTGGCAGTGCTTATACTGAACAGCTGACAGGGGCACAGAGCTCTGCCCTAACCTTGAGGAAGCACACGGTCTTCTCAGTGCCTACCCAAGGAGGCATGACAAGATCAGGAACTCAAGTAGGTAACAGAACACTGTGAACCCACGTCAAACCACAGTTCCGGGACTATACTACTGAAGTAGCAAGCTGACCAAAGTAAAATAATGCAGTAAACACTGTTGTACATGATAAATGACTCAAGCTATTGTCCAACAGGTTTATTTGAAATCACAAGCTTTTGGAGCATTACTCCACCATCAGGTGGCAAAGCAGCAGCGCTCCAAAAGCTTGTGATTAAAAAATAAACCAGTTGGACTCCAACCTGGTGTTGTGTGACTTCTGACCTTGTCCAGCCCAGTCCAACACTGACATCTCCACATTAATTATCGTTATGCTGTGATATATTAGAATCCATTGAATGTCAATTAGAAACATCAGAAATGAACGAAGTAGTTTTTCCTCAGTGTTTGAACAAGCTGTTAGGTAACACCCAAGGTGCAACCTTGGTTGAATAGATGGATACAGTAACATGTTTTTCAGTAAACAGCCAACATTTTGTTCTCATTCAAACTGCTGTTGCAATCATGCTGAATGAACACTGTTGTTTACCTTCAAAACAATAATAGGTACTTCATAATGACTGACAGCTAAGTACATTACACTTCTGGGTAGCTGCAGCTTTGCATATCTGTTGGTGTATCTTTCCCTGTATCAGTATGCATTGATTTTTGGCATCCTGGCAGGGTTTTTAAAATGGGGAGGGGGGATGTGGTCAGAACTTAACATTAAGTTTTTCCTCATTCCACCCTGCTCCACCTCCACAGTTGAGGAGGATGACTGAAGAGGTTGTAAACAGACTGCTTCAAAAGTTATTCCTTTTATGTGAAGTATTTTGAGACATTGCTATGAAACAAGACAACATGGCACCAAATCCAAGTGCGCATTTGAAGTAAATTTGATTGGTAACAGAATTTAAGGGAAATAAAGGCTGCTGGGGATTCTCGAATGTTAAAGGTGTATTGTTGTGGGAACTAGCAGCCAAAAAAGAAATCAACTGAAGTTACAGAGGAGAGAATTTCACAGTTTACTGCAAGGGCACAGGAGTCAGCTGCAAATGGCATTTGAGCTTTAACTGGTCACATTGAGAAAGTATGCTTATAACAGATGTGCCAAGACAATTGAAAGTCAAAGTTCTTTGCATATATCAGACATCCACCAGATCAGAGTGATGAGTTACCTGATAGGAACGAGGATGGGGTAAAAAGAAACCCAGATGGCGGTTTGATTTTGATCTTTAGGCACTAATTGTGCAGTTTATCCACTATATTGCTGTCTTATAAGCTTTAAGATATTAGCTTCCAGTGGACTGGAACATGTAGGCTGTGCTAAAGTTGAACTTCCATAATGGCCCAGTAGATGTACACAACTGATTAAATCTGCAGTT